AAAATATTGTACTGTACTTGTATGTATTGTTTGCTTGAGAATACAACAGAGAATAAACTGCCCAAATACCCTTAAACAAAGGAAAAGTACGTCCTTTATGAAGGCATAGAGCCTTTACTACATGAAAATGAAAAGTAATGAATACACTGTGTACAGTAATTTACCTGATGAGACAGACCTCAGAAAAATACTTTGAGGCATAAAGCTGTCTATGATGAAAATTAATTATCTAAGGGTGTTTTTGCCCTGCCAAGGTGTGACCAAGTTATCCGAAGTGCCGGGTTATCGAGTGCCAAGTTTTCGAGGCTCTACTGTATTAAAAAAATTAAATCCACAAAATATGATTATATTTAAAAATACATATATAAGCATAATTTTAAAAATGAGAAGTTTCAAGTGTAATAAATTTTTTAAAAAATCATAAATATATGTTCCAGATTGAAACCTTTAAATTAGTATTAAAAATATGCCATTTTCAAATAGAAGAGTGTAATCAAAGATTTTGTTTTTATTAAATAATCTTACTGTATAATAATCAGAATATAAAAGAATTGCAAGCAGTTCAAGTATTGCTTTATACTTCATATAAATGTTTCATCATACAGTTGAATATTAGGAGCTTTACCAGTTTGAAATAATGATATATTCAGTGAAGATAGATTATTATGCAAGATGTTTAAAATTTTTTTTGTTTTTGAATAAATAAATGTTCTAAAATTTTCATTTTTATAGCATGCTTGTCTTTCATTTGCGTTAATGAAAGTTTATTTTTCTCTTCTGTGGCTTTTTTTTTAACTTTAACCTGCTAAACTAAAGCTGCTGATACTTCTGTAGAACTGTGTGATATTGAACGCTTCTTTAAATGTCTTCTATCTAATTTATTAACTGGTTAATTAGAAATATGAAAAGGAATTTTTTTTTATTAGTTGACCAAGTACAAACTGGCATATTATTATTTTCTTCTTGTTCCTCTCTATCTGCTTGTGGAACATTTGTTTTACAATTTCAAAACCTAATACTAGATGTAAACACTGTCAGATGGCATTAAAATTTTAATGCCTCTGACTGTATACATCTAGTATTATACCTAATTTGGTGTGCACTTTGAAATACTATTTGACAATCTAAAAACAAAGATTAATTACAGATTTTATTGAAGAATATGCTATGAAATGAAATATAAAAATCAGTATGATGCACTAATCGTATTTAATAACTTAACATCTAACATAGTTATAACAAAACACTGTTTAATAAAAATAATAATAGCAGAAATTTGTTTAGAAATTAATTAAATTAACTTGTAAAAGTAATTATGTAATATATACATTGTAATTTACTTATACATCTTTCTGCAATATTCAGCATCACAATCAAATTTGTTATGTATTAGTGTTGGTAAAACATTCATTAAAAGTAACCTTTCCTCAATGGAATGTTGTGTAAATTCCATACTTCTACCTCCTGTTTTGAATAATGAATAAATTTTATTATTAGTTAATTATGATAAAAACATTAACTGGTATTAATGACTGTTGGCATTTTGCATTTCTATAAACTTTTATTAAAAAAATAATAATAATTATTACTAACTCAACTGAAATCTGTTGATTTTATTCATTTATATATCTTAAGTATAGAAAACAGTTCAGTTCTCTATACTCTATATAATACAGTTTAAACTGTATTTATAGATTGCATTTAATCTCTTGTTAGTTGATTCAGTTGTTAGGCCTCTTTCAATCTAAAACTATTGATAACCTTTGTAAGTCAATTTGAAAGCAGTACAGATATATATCTAAGCAATTTTTGCAGATTACATACAGATAATTATGGTAATTTTATTAAAGTCCAAAGAAAAAGTATTTATATAATGCATAGCTTTCCTATTATTGAATAAGTTATATTTATTATTAAGTGACCATCCCACACTAAGTGTATAGAATAAATTTATAATGCTTTGTGTCATACTGTATTCTTTATAATCAAACATTTCTTTACATAAACTGTGCATATCACAAGACCTAATTCTTGGAAGCATGCGTAAATCAACTTAGTTGTAATTTTATACAATGATGTTTGTTTCATCTTAGTATATAAAATGTTCTCTCTTTTATTTTTCTATTTAAAAAAAAAAAATACTAGTAAAAGTATATCCTACAGGAAATTTATTTATAAAGCCTTGATTAATCATTTAACTTATAATAGGTCCTCGTTAATTTTTATATCATTAATTTCAAATTTCAAACCTTATATAAAAGATTCTACTTTTTAATTTATGAATATGTAATGCTTGTGTAATTGATTTTAAAGTAATATTTTCTTTTCCAAATGTTTTCATTACTGTAACAATATCAAAGGTTTATGAATATCAGATGGAAATGTTTTTGATTTCGGTTTCAAAGCATTTTAACTTTGATTCTATTTAAGTTCTGTTTTAATAATTGAATAAATCAAAAATTGATTTTTGATTTATTCAATTATTTTGCCAAGTATTTCCTATTATATTAAATCTGACATTTAAAATCAAACTATACCAAAAATGTGTAACTATTTTAAACTTTAACTGCAGATATCAAAAATCATAAGGCAACTGTCATCATTTTTCTTGTAATTTTATAAAAGAAATTCCAATTCTGGAAAAACTCATAGATAAATATGGTTAAAATCATAACAAAAATGCAATTTCAATTAACAAGTTCTGTTATGTATAGCCTACACAAGTAGTAGACTGTATGTTACTCCATGATATTTACTTAACGACAAACTTCTTGAAACATATCCTCATCACCGAGCATACCCGTATTTCAAAAATGGGTCATTGTACCCAAAAACATTTAGTTAGTACATCTATTTATGATTTTTTTCTCTAATAAAGTAACTGATTGCTTAAAGTTTCTTATTTATCATTGTTTTCAATGCTCAAACGGTATTGTTCTACAATGATTATATATTAAAAATAATATTTGTATGCTCCGACATGTAATTCTTATCAGTAGTTTTTGTACACTTGTCTTTGATTATAGCAACTTTTCAAAATACTCAACTAGTTAATAGTAACAGTGAAATGTTTTGCTCACTATTTAGAGAAGAAAATTACAAACTAATAAATTATTTTTAAACTTCTACTTAACTGCTAGAACTTTATAAATACTTTACTAACCTTGAGTGCGTTAAAATATATAGGATTTATTTCGAACAAGCCCAATCGTAACGGAATGAACATAAGTAATGGATACCATTCTACAATAGAATTCTTTTGCATAGACGAATTATTTAAGTACGTTTTGGTATCGTTAAATGGAACAGAATTAATTTTGTTCTCGTCATTGCTTCCTCCCATGTATCTTGAACGAACGACACCTTTGTTGATGTCTTGTGTAACCGAATTTGAAATCTTTGGATGGGTTTTGCATAGAGTTTCTTCATTATAAATAAAAATAAACAATGATTTAAAGACTGAATACATTAAGAAAAACAATAAATAGTAATTTTATCATCAAGAGATTTACTGTACTTGCTTAAATACAAACCTTCTTACACAATTAACAAAATNTATTGATATTTTATAGAAATTTTCTTTCACATGTAATTATTTTTTTAAATATAATTGTTCTGTTGAATAAATTCTGAAGACGGTTTATGTTCTAGAAAGCATTAAAAATGTATTTATCTTTGTTTTTAGTAACTCAATAAAGCAATTTGAATTAGAAAGAACTTGTGATGATTAACTGATAGATCATGAATTAGCGAGAACAATTACTGAAATATTTAGTTCTTTTTCATAAAGTTTAGAGGACATTACCATGTATTTCATTCCTTTCAGGAATATAGAATCAACATGTAGCTGTTTCTAACTAATTTAACCATTCTTAGAATAATTATAAAAACTATATATATATATCCCTGGTTAACTGACTTTTGGGTCACTCTGTATATATGAAGAATGATCAGAAAATAAGAATTTGTGGCTAGTAAATTCAGGAAAACATTTAATATCAAATTCAAAAATATGCTTAAAGGATATCTAATGCACCATTTTGCAACATAATCCCATACTCTGCATTTGTTCCAATGTATCATAAATTTTGGATCCTGTGATTGGAACCATGCACTTGTACTGTATTTTTTCATCAGTGTGAAACTGGAATCCATCAAGATGTTTCTTTAGAGAAGTGAACTCAGAATGAGGTCTAAACTAAATGCCGAAGCACAGCCTAGACCCAAACCACCCAGGATGTTTTTTTTTTTTCTAGCAGAAACTCTGCTGAAGATGTTCTTATAAAAGAATGAAGACATTTCTGATTAAAAAAATAAGTTGTTTGGTTCTTGAAAATAGCATTTATTTATTTAATAAGGTGCCAATTATGGATGTATTTTCTGTTGGAATAGTGAAATTTTCATAGTTAGTAATTTGCTCTTGTTCTTCAAGAATCAAAGCAGCATAAATAATCCTCTTAATTGATAAAGAAATACATGCAATTGTGATCATTCTGTATAGAAAAATCCTTTCCAATTGGTAAAGTTAGTCTTCCAGAGTAGATACTTTTAAGGAGTCTATGATTTGATCCAAAGAAAAAAAGTGAAAGCATAGAAAGGAAGAAACCAGAAGAGATTCTGCAAAAGGCAACCTCAAGGCAAAAATATATATTATACAGAACTGTTTTTAAAGAAAAAGTTAAGAATTTCAATATTTTAGATGAAAATTTGCTTTTACAGTGTTGACAAAAACTTTACTTATGAAATTTTCATATTGGAATATTTGAAATTAATGAATTTCTCTAAAAAAAATATCTTTTAAGTATATTTAACTTTTTACTTTATTTATAAACAATAAAAAATGTTTTTTAACTTCTTTCTTGATTCGAATGAAATTCCGGACAGTTGAAATTCGGAATAGAAAATTGCATCAAATATTATTGGTATAGAAATCAAGAAAGAAGAGAATTTCTTATACTCTGAATCCCAGTAAAATAATTAATAAAATTTTTATTTTACAGTGAAAACATTATTGTTGGGAGGAAAATATAATACCATAACAGAAGTTGTACGTGATATACGTTTAATTTTTGAAAATTGTTATCGTTCTTATAAGTCTAGTCATATGTTTTTTAAGAGAGCTTTGAAGTTAGAAATGTTGTTAGAACAAAAATTAGCATTATTAACAAGGTAAGTGTTAATTTTAACTCACTTCGTAAGTCATTTATTGAATATCAAAAAGTAACGTTCTTGTTAGAAACAAACGTAAAAATATCTCAAACATGGCTTTATATGAAGATTCAGTTATTTTAAAATTATTTTTTAGCTTCACATATGATTAAGATTTAGTTTAGTTATTCTTTTAATATAAATTATTATTGATTTAATAATTTCCTTAATTTATAATTGAACTTAATGTGTTCAATGTGATATTTATATAATTTTTCTATTTAATAGGATAGAGTATAAACCAAATAATAGTTTTTAAACAATTAAAATATAAAATGTAAATTTTATTTTTATTATTAAAATATTTTAATTTATAAATTTATAGAAAAATTAAAGATAAAACCTCAATAGAATTGACATCAATGCCATTAATTAAAGAATCTGGAGTTCAGAGTAAGAAATCCCTTATAATTTATAAAATTAAATATAAATTTATTGTTATGAATTAAATATTGTATGAGATAGCAGTCAAACTGGGTTTATGAAAATTTAGTTTGATGTAAATTGATAAAATTTAACTGTACACTTATGTAATATTTTTTACTCTTTTCACCCTGTAAGCACTAAGAAGGTCTTTTACCACATTATTACACCGATTGTGGGTTCAACCTGATCCACAGTGGGGCTGCTGGTTGGTAAGGGAAGAGCCTATAACATATCTGGGACAAACCATTCTCTAAAAAAATTTCTAAAATTTTTCAATCAATCCAGATTTGTTTTCAGGTCTGCCAGAGCTAGAAACAAATAGGCTGACTCTTTAACCAATTAGACATTTAGCCGTATTTCTTTGATTATAAGATGTACTATCGGTTTGAAATCAAATTTTAAGATTTTTTTATGGAAGGGAAATTTTAAAATAATTCATGGTTTTCAGTAATTCACATTTGATATATAAATTATTATTTTTTTCAACTAACTTAGCTTGCCTTAATATTTTTAAGCAGCTTGACTTAATGTTGAGAGCCAAAATTGACTTGCAAAAAATTTGTACTGAAAACTCATTTTTTTATTTTCATCATTTTATGGCCATTTTAACATTGCTTTACTAAGTTTTAACTAACTTTACAACATTTTATCTCAATAAATGATACATCATTGTTTTGTTATTCTCGTATTGAATTTCAGAAACTTAAGCTTTTAACTAATATGTTTAATGTATTTAATGTGTTTTATTATCACTTGGAACAACATCATGCTCCTATAAGGTCCAGGCTTCATATTGCCTGAAAACAAAACATGATAACAGAAAGCAATTCTCTTTCAGTTTGATTTCTGTTTCATCTAACCAGGGCTGTGGTTTTATTTTTTGGTCGGAGTCAGCGGATTTTTTGACGACTCCGACTCCCTTTTACTTACCAACTTGTTATGTATATGAAACGGAGCCAGAGTCGGATGGTTAGGAAGAGTTGGAGTCAGTAGATTTTTACACAACTCCACAGCCCTGCATCTAACATAACTTCAAAAATATTTGATTCCATTAACATGTTAAAAAATTCAAAAAATCTGCTTATAGTTTATAAAAGTCAAAACTTTTTGGATTCAATGTTTTTCAAAGTTGCTCTACTGTATTTTCAACAAACTATCTCGTACAACCACCACAATATTACTGGTATACAAAACAAATAAAATATGCAATTACCATCAAACCAGAAAAATTTGATTTAACTAATTGTTAAACAAACGTTTTCATCTGTTTTCAATGAGCATCCTCAGGTTTCGAAGTAATGGAATGTTTGTCCAAAGAATGCAAATTTCAAACTTTTTAAAAAATTGCATATTGTGAAAATACACATATGCTCAATGTCACATTTAACAAGGCTAAATTAGACTTCAAACTGGCTTCCAGTTTTTTAAGAAAAATACTAAATTTATACGAAATATAAAAACGAAAACCAACCAAGATCTATTGCACATCAAAGTGCACCCTCCACACATCTGCTAATGAGTCCATTTCTTTAAAATTAATTGCTGTCCCCCTCCTAAATGCTTTAAATATTTTCAGTTGTTCAAGATATTTCACATTGGCAGGGTCATTGAACATTGTAGTAATCAGGCTTTGCCAAATTTAATTTGGACATCTTGTTAGGTGTATTAAATACTTGGCTTGGATGTCACGCCAACAGATAACTCAATCAAAAACTTCATACTAGGAGGCGTTAAAGAGAATTAAGAGAAATATTTTAATCTTGCAAGCGCTTTCAACGTAAATATGTACGTCATCTTCAGGCAATTCAAAATTGAATAGAGAATTCAAACAGAATTCGAATAGAGAACTTGGACATCATTATCACCAGTGAAAGCAGCCAATGTGATAGTGGATAGACCTTTCTGATTCATATATTTATGCTCCCTGATCCTCATTTTTAGACCACATTTGTTTAACAATTAGTTAAATAGAATTTTTGTTGGTTTGATGGTAATTGCATATTTTGTTTAAACAACCTCATATTGTATCATCAGCATTTGTCCTTGCATATGCTGCTGATACAATATGAGGTTGTTTCTCTCTGATGTAATATTTGGTTTTAATTCTGTTTCATTGCTAAAGCATGTAAAAGAGAATTAAAGAACAAATTGGTATAAAAAAATTTAAGTCCAGTACAGCCTTGGAGGAGATAATGATTTGAAATTCAAGAACACAAGAACAAAATGTCTTTGATATTAGCCAGAGAGAGAAACTTGCCAGCAGGAATTGCTAAAGATCTTAGGAAATTGCTTATAATTGCAATTTCCCAAGATCCAATTTTTAAATTAATGAAACAAAGGTTCTATATTTGATCTATGTGTTTGGTTAATAATTATACCTTATAATCAGTCATCTAATTAACATGCTTAATACACTTTTTGTTGCCTAAGCAGCTAATATGTTAAAGAAATCTGGAATTTTTGAAATCCTGGATTTGAAGAGTTAATTAATATAGATATGAGTAAATTTGAAAATGGCAATCAAAAATAAAATTGAAGCTGAGAGAGAGCAAATTGAAAACAGAAAAAAAAAGTAAATGAGAAAAATTTTAAGGTAATAATGATATTTTATATACTGATCATAAACAGACTTCAGTAGAGACTTCACATGATCCTAAGTTTAATAAAGATTTTAAGATTAAATTTATTGTAATACTTATTCTCACACAAGATTTAGCCAAGACAAGGTAATAAATTAAATGTTTTTAACATTTCATAGTGAATAGTAATTTCATTTACAAACTGATTTGTATAAAAGATTGATTTATATTATTCATATAATATTGATTCTTATGTATAACAATGACTATAAGTAAAGTGAAAGCTTTATCATAATAATTTTGTGAATGTTTTCATTTCTAATTTTGACATCTGATTTGAGGATTTAGGATTTTAGGAAGATTAAGAATAACCTAAATAAATTTTTATTAATAATTCAAAATTAGTAATCAACAGTTACTTATTAGTAATTATAGTTTAACACTTATATTTTTAAACTACTGTATTACTGATTCAATAATAATTCTGTAACTTTGATTAATACAAATTATAACTTAATTTGATATGGTCAGGGAACTGATATTTGAAAACAGAATGATGACATTTTTTAATACTAAATTTTATAATAAGAAGGAAAAGAGAAATTAAATTAATTAATTCTGAGAAATGAAATTAAAAATACAAAAATAATAGATTTTGAGATATAAATATATAAACCAAAACAGGAAAATGACAAAATTAACTAGGAACATTTGTATCTATACAATTATAACTTATTTTTGTTGCATTGACTTTAATTAACTAAAATTTTGTATTGAACTATGTATATTTTAACTCTTCAAAGAACGGATGATTTTTCAATTAATAAAATATTTTATTATTTCATAAATCTTAAGTATCAAATGATAGTGGAGCTTTAAAGTAAAAAACTAGTAAAGTTTAAAGTTATTAGAACTATTTTAAAGTGGTAAATACAAATTAAATCATACAGGGAATCCTCGTTAGTTTGAACTTCAAGGGATGAAATAATCATGACATTGAATTAGCTGAGATTTACATATTTCTGTACAGTATGCTAAATGTCATATAATTGATGTAATTTATCAAGGAAATGGAGTACAGCTACATATACAGAATGCGATTTTTGTAAGTTAATAATAATAATAATATTTCAGAAAACACTCACTAAATATACAGGTACAGATCTCACACAAAGACCACGAATACCAAAAATCAACACGTCAAAGGTAGTAGGAAAAACACTAAATTATGTAAACACTCACTTACTACCAAAATACATCCATTTAATTTCTACACTCTCAGACATTCATACATTAGTTTATGCTGGGGCAGTCACAGTAGTGACACACCATGGTCTGAAAATATCAATACATTTGCAGACAGATACACACAAAACACAATTCTATCACAAGCCTGCCTGGCAGAGAAGAATAGAAATACAAATAAATGACATTAGACAGCAATTAGGCAGGCTGACACAATACACTAAAAACAACATAACACCCAAATTAAAGAAACAACTCAAAAACATTTTCAAGAAAATCAAAACACACACAAAACACGAACATCACAACACACACATTACAGAATACATCAATACACTAAAACAAAAACTCGCAGCCAAAGCACATAGACTCAAATGATACAAAACATGTACACTACGAAAACAACAAAATAAGTTATTTACAAACAACGAAAAACTCTTTTACAGACAAATTAGTACCAAAACAAACACTGATACACAGCACAGTGGCACACCAACAGAAGAAGAACTAACAACTTATTGGTCTTCTCTTTGGTCCANTAATTTTAAAAATGAGAAGTTTCAAGTGTAATAAATTTTTTAAAAAATCATAAATATATGTTCCAGATTGAAACCTTTAAATTAGTATTAAAAATATGCCATTTTCAAATAGAAGAGTGTAATCAAAGATTTTGTTTTTATTAAATAATCTTACTGTATAATAATCAGAATATAAAAGAATTGCAAGCAGTTCAAGTATTGCTTTATACTTCATATAAATGTTTCATCATACAGTTGAATATTAGGAGCTTTACCAGTTTGAAATAATGATATATTCAGTGAAGATAGATTATTATGCAAGATGTTTAAAATTTTTTTTGTTTTTGAATAAATAAATGTTCTAAAATTTTCATTTTTATAGCATGCTTGTCTTTCATTTGTGTTAATGAAAGTTTATTTTTCTCTTCTGTGGCTTTTTTTTTAACTTTAACCTGCTAAACTAAAGCTGCTGATACTTCTGTAGAACTGTGTGATATTGAACGCTTCTTTAAATGTCTTCTATCTAATTTATTAACTGATTAATTAGAAATATGAAAAGGAATTTTTTTTTATTAGTTGACCAAGTACAAACTGGCATATTATTATTTTCTTCTTGTTCCTCTCT